GTGGTATTTTAGAAAACTTTTATTAAATTCAATTCATTTCTCAACAAATATTACAACTTTTGGTGAGAAACAAGACATAGATTTGGCGAGAATTTTTTTCTTACCATCTTTATCATCTCTTATTATTTCTCACATATTTAACCATCCAAATAAGTTTTCTACTCTCACTATTTTTTCTATTTTCCCACCAAACCCCTCTATCCAAACAAATTAAAGTCTAACCACATAAGTCATCTCATGTGGTTAGAGTTTTTTTTTTTTTTAACTTATAGTTATTCGATAGGAGTGGAGCATCATGTAATTTCTGCTTCTTTGATATTTCAAATTAATCACAAGGAAATTTTATTGTTAAATAGTTTGGGGGAAGAATAATTCATTAAGTAGTGTTTTACGATTTTCATTTGTATGGATAACATAACACAATTTTTTTGAAATATTTAATAATTTTAGAATAAATTACACCGACACTCCTTAAGATTTCTAATTGATATAAATTCACTCCTTACGTTTGAAAAATTATATTTTCCTTGTTGAAGTTCGTAATCTCATTACAAATTGTTCCTACATTGCTGATGTCATGCGTTGAAATTTTTTAAATGACTATTTTGTCATTTTTTCTTCCATTTTTTTCCTTCTATCATCATGACTACATTCTATAACTTCTCATCATTAAATTCTAGCTAAATATATTCTTATCAAGTGATGATATACAAACATAAATTTTATATAAAATTTTCAAATACAATGATATAAATTAATGGTGACTTTTCACTTTAAAATAAAGCACCCATAAATATGATTTATATTTACAAAATCATTATCACAATATTTTTATGATATTTTTTGTATAAATTTTTATATATTAATAGAATTTTTCATTTTTAATTTTGTCATTATTTTTCTTTCTCGTCTATTCACTCACGCTTATTATAGTATTATACCGCCATTCACATTTATTATAATATTACTGAATTTTTATATTTTTTTGTATTTGGTGAATTTAAAAAAAAAACACAAAATATTATATTTCTTAAGTATATTTAGATTAAGTGTATCTTAAAAATAAAAATATTATTTAAAATATTAATAAAAAAATCAGTAAAAAAAAGCATGAAAAATAAATAATAAAAAAAATTGTGTGAATTAAACTAAAGAAGATGATTGTTACTTCTTTTGAAATAACATGAACAAAATATTTATATTATTTTATATATATAAATACGAAGAGGTAAATATGTCATTTTAATCTGACAAAAAAATAAGCATAATTTTTTAAATGTGAAAGAAAAATATATATTAAACAAAAATCTCATAAGATGTCAGTGTAATTTACTCATAATTTTATCTCACTTGGATATCAAAGGTTCGATTTCTTCTTTCTCATTGTATCCCAACAAATGATAGCAATTTATATTTAAGCCCATTTTTACAACCAAAAAACAAAAAAACAAAAAACAAAAGTCAGATCTTTTTTTGAATTTTTTTATTTTTAATGATTTTTTTTAAAATTATATCAAAATATTTTACTTTTTCGATCTGTCTTGTTGAGACGAATCCAAAAAGTATATATTTTTTTAAAAAATCACTAAAAGACAAAAATAAGCTAAAAAAAATTGCTTATTATGGAGTCTTTTGGGAAGTTGCCAAAAAACCAATTTTTTGGCTTTTCAACTTTTTAAGCAAAAAAAATCAATTTTTTATTCAAAACAACCCAATTTTTTGCCCAACAAGTCACTAAAAAGTTAAAAAGTTGACTTTTTACCAACTTTTCAAAACACCACTATGATTTGTTTTTGTTTTTTCTAAGTTTTTTTTTTGGGTTTTTTTTTAAAAAAATTATAATTTTTTGGTTCATCTTATCGAGCCGAATCTAAAAATTTAAAATTTTTGAATTTTTTTTTTAAAAATTCACTAAAAATAAAAAATAAGCCAAAACAAAAAAAAGCACTTCCCACCACATTAGTAGTCTTATAATGTACTTGTTGTATCACTTTGCTTCATAAATTTCAATTGCAGTAATTTTATTAAAACAAACTATGGAAAGTGGTTAGCTATTAGGAAAAAAAGATAGATATATTCTAAGTTGATACGATCTAAACTTTTAAATTTTTGACAAACAATTATAATTTCTTTAGGTTGTGTTTAGATTTGAATTTGAATACATATTTGAAAAAAGAAAGAAAAATGTAAAATTAAATAATTTAATTTTTTTCTTCATTTCTCTCGCCTTTTTTTATTTATTTCCTAATTCTTTCCCAAATTTGTAATTTATACACAACATTCATTTAAATTTAAAATATCAAATCCAAAAAACTTAGATCATCTCCAATCCTTAACTAATTTTTTCATCTAATTTAATTCTAAATTTAAGTAAAAAACTTGATTTGATATCAACTATTACAATCATTTAATCAAATTTTTATCAAAATCTTTTTAAAAATTATTCTCTTATCCCAAATTTCTTTTTTTCATTAAATTTGAAGAGGGGGAAAAAAAATTATCACAAATGCTTTATCTTTTTAAATCGAGAATTTTTTTTTTAAAGTCTCTCATATTAAGATTTTATAAAATAAAAGATATATAATATTTTCATAGTAGTTAAAGTATTTCAACATTTCTACAGAGCAAATTCAATTTAGAAAAATTTCAAAAATTTTTTGAGTCGGGCAAAATTTCTCTAAGTTGAATTTTCTCTGTGAAAATATTGAGGAACCTTAGCTAATAAAAATATCATTTTGGACCTTTCATACTACACAAAATTAGAGAGGGATGTTTCACTAATTTTTCCTTTGGAATTTTTTTTAAAGGTCTCTAATATTAAGATTTTATAAGATAAAAGATATACAATATTTTCATAATAGCTAAGGTTGCTCAACATTTTCACAAAAAAAATTTGACACAGAGAAATTTTAATTGTCACAGCGAAATTTTAAAATTTTTCTAGCATGATCACAGAGAAATTTCATCGAAAGACCTTAGTTAACAAGAAAAAAACATTTTGAACCTCTCCTACTATACAAAGTTGAAGAGAGATGTTTCACTAATTTTCCTTCCATCAAATTTAAATTTAATGAAAAATTTGTGGAGTTCTTAATTTGATGACAAAAATTACTCTCTATTAATTTGACGAATTTTTAATGAAATTATTGGAGCTGATTTTTGAACATTTTTTCATCAAATTCATGAGAGTTGTTTTGAAAAATAGCTATTTTAATTGCCTTTTTAATTTTTGACCAAAAAAATTGTAAAAAGATAGAGAATAGTTTTGTAATGATTTTTTGAGTGGATTGTCAAAACATCCCTCAAATTTGATATATATCAAAATAAATAAAAGTGAAGGATTGCACATGAGATGATGATGATGATGATACATCCATGTGGAAGGAAACTTCAGAATCATATGGTCGATTATTGAAAATATTGAAGTTGAACTACCATGGCGGACTTCTTCAAGGTTCTCTTTAAGATTATACACAGATAGAGATTTAGAAGGTGATTTTTCAAGATAATTAAAGTTAAAAGTTACTTGCTTTTTGTCATTTTTTTGAATAGCATGTCCTTTATTTTATTTAAATTGAGAAAGTAAGATATCAAAGATGTTCTCTTACTTTTCTTTATTTTCTTTTGTATTCTTGGCATCCAAACTCAGGACCATTATATTAGCAATCGAGAGCAATCATCCAAAATTTATGTTTTCTGTAAAAAGGCACTTACAATAAAAGTATAAAAGTCTAATATTTAATGGGTGACAGAAATAAATGTTGTTTGATATTACTAATAAATATGGTAACAACTCATTATTTTGTTTATATTTTAAAAAGAATAATGCTGAAGAATTCAAAAAAAATTACAAAATTTTAGTAAAATTTTTAGAATTTCTAATTTTTTTTTTTAAATGTATATTTTGCAAGAGAATGATTCCCCTCTATACTATTACCTTTCATATGTCTCCATACTTTATTTTGTGAATCCAAGTCCCACAACGATAATGAGAACCATTCATCTCGTAGGTTTAAGAAAAAAAAAAAAAAAGTTATACAAAAAATCAATTTCATCGAACATCACTAGACACATAACAAATTACACTTGCAAACATAAATTATACTTTCAACCATGATTTGAAGTACTTGAACACCTACTCACCCACCACCCACCGTCACCACTTTCCACCACCGTCTTCCGCCGCCACTTGCCACCACTTGCTATTTCTCACTTTTTTTTTATATTTTTAAATTTTTTTAAACATCTTGTCAATTATCAAACGCGTTTGTAGTTTATGTTTTTCTAAAAATAAACAAAAAATAAACAAAAACTAGTTTATAAAATTTTTGTAAATATAAACTGAAAACGTAAACGTTACCAAACACATAGAATTTCTAATTTTTTTTTTTTAAATGTATATTTTGCAAGAGAATGATTCCCCTCTATACTATTACCTTTCATATGTCTCCATATTTTATTTTGTGAATCCAAGTCCCACAACAATAATGAGAACCACTCATCTCGTAAGTTTAACAAAAAAAAAAAAAGTTATACAAAAAATCAATTTCATCGAACATCACTAGACACATAACAAATTACACTTGCAAACATAAATTATACTTTCAACCATGATTTGAAGTACTTGAATCTAATCCCAGGCAATTAACTTAGTACTTGTGTAATACCTTTTGTGATTTGAAGTCTCGGATTCAATTCTTATGGAGAGGAGTTTAATACCCTTGTATGTGATTAATGGTGGTTGTTAGGTTTGGCGTTTGATAGTTTAGTTGTTAGATTTTGTTGACTATCTAACTATTGTGGGCTAATAGTTTGTTTGATAATATAAATATTTTTTATAATGTAATTATTTTTCTATCTATTGACAAAAAGGTGATAGTTAAGAGTAAGGATGTCTACAATCCCATCCAGTCTGTTTCGGACTTAGCAACACTCAGATACCACCTCACATCACCATAACCAAACTTCTCATGGCAATGGTCTCAAAACCCCACAAAAACTCATCTAAAGGCTGGGTCAAACTCAAACGGACCCCGTGTTCCAATTTCCACAAGAAAATCACAATGTACAGTACCAGAAAACTGTAAACTTCAATTATTTTCACCCTCGCCACATTTTCTTATTTTCAAGAGGGCAGAGCTTCAGAGATGTAGTTAAATTTGAACATGTTCACAACTAGTGGCATGTACCGATAATGATATCGGAATACAAACATTTTTCCTTACAAAATGAATAGGAAATAGGAATCTAATTTAATGTACCATCCCATCTCTCGCCAGTTCTTCTAACCCTTTTCTCAGCCTTGCTGCAGCAACTCGACAATCATCCTCTAACAATCCTCCGAATGAGATCCTAAGGTGCCCCGGACAGCCACAGGCACTTCCTGGGATCACAACCACGCCATGCTTTGTAGCAAGCCAGCGAATTACTTCGTAGTCATCGACGCATTTGTCTGGAAGCTTTGCCCATAGGTATATTGCACCTTCTCCGCCTTTCACAGCATCATCTCCCAACGGAGATAGTGCTTCTAGAACAATTGCTCTGTTTTTGACGAGATCTTTCACTTGTTCAGTGACCCATTCCGGTCCCACTTCTAAGGAATAAAGGGCAAGGCGCTGTGAAATTATTGCAGCACATATTGGTATGTTGTCTTGGATTTTGAGGAGTTGAGCTCCAAAGCCCGCCACTTCTGTAGGGTATGCTATCTGCATTATGAACATAGATGGCTCTTATTAGCAGCACGCACTTTTGTTTTGAATATGGAAGAGGAAACTATCAAGTATGAGCCTAGAAGTATATATTCTTCATTTTAAAGCAAGAGAAATAAGAAGAATGAACAACTGAACATATAAGAAGAGATCAAACACACTACACATTTGACAAAACAGAAAAACAGGCAGAGAGTTCCCATCCTAATCTCTCTTTAGATTTGCAAGATGTATTTGATGAAAGAGGAGATGACATAGAAAATAAAGAAGGGAAATGACAAAGGAAAAGGGTGAGAAAACCTACATCTTATTTGGTGTGAACACTGTCTCATTCTATTTTTTTTCAAGAATGCCCTTCACTTCTATCAATTCAGTAGCTACCACATCCAATAACTAATGAACAGTTTTTTCATTTATCAAATTACCCAAAACTGCTAAATGATTTTCTCATTCATCAAACTGTCCCTCAATCATCAAACTATCCAAAAATTTAAATGTAAAATTGCAAAAGCATCATGTTTGCTAGTATAAATTATATACATGAAATATAGAGTTCTTCCTTGTTCATTCTTTCTCTCATTCATCCTCTTAAGCAATCCTGCCAAGTTGTCCTCCATTCCTACAATTCTGCTACAACACAGGATATTCTGATGAATCACCTCAAGAAAAGGTGTCTTGCCATAATGGTAACTTGCGAAGAAGAGAGAACATATCTGGTAGAAATTTCTGGCTAAAGGTGCAAGGTTTCTCATTTGGACAGTATTGCAAAGCATGGTAAAAACTAATAGATATGAATGTAACACCTGTCATTTAGGTTTCTAGATAGCTTGCAAGAACTTTATTATTTTTTTGGAACGAATAGGGTGATGGAAAAGTATGAAAACCTCTTTTTTTCTTTCAATTTATTGATTTATTTTTTGGCAGAGGAAGAAATCAAAAGCAATTAACAACCATTTTTGAAAACCACTTTTTTTATCATCCCACCCACCAAGTTAAGCAGATAAAACAGATACTATTACTGTAGCATGAGTCATGTAGTGATGACTTCCAAAAGGTAGACATTACTACATTAGTTGTGTAATGTGAGGTTAGAAGTGATAATTACCGATGAAATGCAAGAATGCAAGCCAATTAATGTCGTCTAATCATGATATTTATTAAAAGCAAGCTCCATTTTCAATTCAAAAGGAAGCAATAACATTCATATTTATTTCTAATCAAAACAATTTGATTTCTTTTTGATCAATATAAAAAACATAAGAAACAGTAAGCACTACTCACATATCCAACTCGCCATCCCATCATTCCATAAGCTTTAGAAAATGAAAAAATGTTGACTATGTGATTGCCCTCCACACATGAGTGTTTGAGGCCATCATACATAAAGTACCTGCACATGTAATTGTTAATACTCCTACATACCTCTGTCTTCTTCCCAGGAACACATGAAAATATAACTAAGTCATAGTCTAGAAAACTGAGCAAACAGTAGAATTAATAGCAAATAACCTTTAAAGTGCAACAGAATGATAAAAGAGTACCCAACCAACAATCCATTTTTTATTCCCCTTTCCGTAAGTAACAAGTCATTCCTAGTGTTTGAACTTTCATATTTTAAATGCAAAATGCATGATGATTATTAGATATACTCCAGTTGCAAACTTCCAATTTCTTGAATAATTTGTTATGTATATGACATGATGAATTTGTAGCATGACCATGGTAACTATGCTGGATCTTCGACTTATTTTTTGGCCTGAGATCAATGATGTCAAACCATTGTGTACATAATGACCAAGGGACTACACAAAATGGCAGAGAAGCAGCATCCGCAGAGAGAGAGAGAGAGAGAGAGAGAGAGAGAGAAGAAGAAGAAGAAGAAGAAGAAGAAGACTTTCAAACTCTACTAGAGTAAAAGCCTAAAAGGTTATGCATAGTGACTTGAGATTCAGGAAAATTATTCCTGCACTTATTTCAAACTTTACCAGGGTAAAGTCTACAAGGTTATGCATAATGACATGAGATTCAGGAAAATTATTCCAGATAATCTATTCTAACACCACATCCATATATAGTTGTACAAAAAAATAGTAATTTTGAAACATATCTAAAACTACTAGTATATGTTGTCCCCTTCAAAACAAAAGGATTCTTCTCTCTGCTAACTATTACTGTGTCCCTTTTTTTGCCAAGGTTCTTTCCTCCCACCCCCAAAAAAAATTTCTTGCATGTCCCTTATTCTACAGTCCTCACCTCACGCTGATTTGTTTTTTTTTCTTTTCTATTAATAGACACACACAAAAAAAAAAAAAAACTTTCTAATCATTTTTTCACCTACTCCACTAAACCTAACCCACTACACCACTACCATCTCACCTACTCCACTAAACCTAACCCACTACACCACTACCATCTCACCTACTCCACTAAACCTAACCCACTACACCACTACCACCTCCACTTCACCTACTCCTTACCTACTACACACTCACCCTCTTCTATATATAGGAATCATGAATCATTGTAATTAATATCAACATAATATCAATCAATAATACAATTTATTGTCTTTCTCTCTCTATCAATATTTCTTACATCATATTTAGCTCATGAATTCAACATCTTTTTGTTCATAAAAAAATTAGCAATATCATCAAACAAGGTAAAACGATTTACATTAGAAAGCAGAATAATATCAAGTGTTCAAAAATAAGAAAAAATATACTTACTCATATGTATTATCTACAACAAGCCAACATCCTGCATCCCTACAGAGATCTGAAATCCTCTACTCAAAAAATAAAAAGAAAATAAAACACCGAGTTAGGGATTCAATAAAAAATTTTAAGACAAGCAGAGAAAAATAGTTTTTCTCAACTCAGTTCGCAACAAGCATCAGGATGGCTCTCTTTTTTGTTTGTTTTGGTAGGTGCTTCAGGATTGGTCCTGATTCCAATGATGAGTATGCGCGTGTATGTTTATGTATGCATTTATGTACTTAACAATTTTTTTTTTTATTTTTTATTTTTACATACATGCACAGAGAGAGAAAGAGAGAGACCTTGAGAAGAGGCAGTGGAATGTAAGTTCCGGATGGGTTTCCAGGATTAACGACAGTAACAAGCTTTGGGGTTGGTTTAGTTTCCCGCAAAGTCTTTTCTAGCCAGTCTGAAAAGCAAAATATCTGATAAATGAACAACAAAAAACTATGTGGTGTTTTGTTTGATATGCCCTGTACCTTAATTAAATCAAATAAAAATTAATTCTCCAATACTCTCTTACAACAGAGAGTTAAGGGCTTTAATACTTCACCATAGATACACTAGTATATCAAAAACCATTGTAAAAAATGAAAAGAGAAAAACTTTTAAAGTAGAAGATGATTAAAATAAAAAGAAAAATGAAATACAAGATATTCAAGTAATGGAAAATCACCAACCCAGTTTTCCATCAAAATTGAAAACAAATTAAATTCAAGATATCAGCATTTCATTTTTTGCTACTACAGTCTTTGGGTCCACGATACTATAGTAATTAAAATGGGCTTCCATAAGCATTTTAAAAGTCACCAGCCTGCTCTAGCAACCACCAGATGAAACCACAGGGTTAAGGCAATTAATCAATTCAGGAAAGTGCCCAATTCTCAATATAAACATAATTCAGCAATCATAATGTTTGTTGCAGAAACACTCCCATCAAATAACAAAATTATATTTTTATACATACAATTTATGTTGTTTAGCAAGAATCTGGCACAGAATACTCGGCAAGATTCCTTGAGAAATTGACAAGGAAAAAGAACTACGATATTTTTCAGGTCATGCACAATGCAAACTTCATACCTTCATCAGGATGAAGTGTCTTTGGATTACCAGGACCCACCAGAATGTTAGTAACACCTGTCATCTGGAATGACATGTACGCATTGAAGTAGTATGGTGCAAACATAACTACAGAATCCCCAGCATCACACAATGTGAGAACTAAATTCACAAATGCCTGTAATCAGAATGGGTAAAAGCTTTTTTTAGAATTTATGAAGGATGGATGGGTGAAAACTTCTCTGTTTTAAACTCTGAAAAACTTCATGAGATTAATATTCATCCTATACTAAGCAAACACTGAACATTTAAGTATCAAAACAGACTTTTAAAAGAAGGCAAGGAAGGCCATCGTATTAGACATATGTGGAACTCTTCTTTCTTTTTTTTTTTCCAATTTTTTTTGGTAAGTATGGAAATCTATTTTTTAATCAAGAAAATTAACAAAAGAAAACAGAATGCAACGTTGCAATGTGTAAAGAAATAATATTGCATAGCATGCAAGCATGTAAACATTTTGTGATCCTCCATACATGGTCATGCTAGATATTACCAATCAGGATAAGACTATAAACACCAGAAGGAAAACGTGGCAACCTTAGGCATATTTATCTGCTTGTTCTTAGGGAAATTATAACACATAAACACCCACTGTGCATACTACTCAAAAGGTCACAATTTTCTGTTCTGAAGGGCAATGACCTTATTGTGAATTTAAATAAATATGGTTTCCTAAAGCTTAGCAAGGACACCAATAAGATAAAAATGCATCTGAAAATAGTGACTATGAGAAACCAAAAGAAGTGCAAAAGCCAGCACATATGCATAATGAGGCAATGACATAGCTTTATGTTGGCCTTCTCACTCCTCAACATTTTCCCACGTAAATTAAAAACCAATACTGAGAGCACAAATTGACTAGACACAATTGTTATTTTTACTAGGTCAAAATAAAAAACAAATAGACAGCAGGCATGGTCACCTGATTTGCCCCTGCAGTAACCATCACTGAAGATTTATGTAAGTTGTTTTCTTGACGCAGCTGCAAAACAAAAGAAAAATAATTTGATCATAAGAAGCCAGTAGAAAAAATAATATATATATATATATATATCAGTTGCTCAGTGATATAGTCAAAAACTGATATCAGATTATGTTGCAGCCTACAGACCCATATACAGGGAACTAAATTAGAATGTGGTATGATAGGGTTAGTCTTTTGTATATCAAACTATTTGAACTTCAGGTTTTCTAAATGTGAGTGAAATTTTCTTTTAACAACTAGACATCTAATAAAATGTATTATTTTTAAAACTAATCATGTAAAAACAGATTTCTAGGAGATAGCCCAATTTTTTCTTTTACATTTGGTTTTGCCAAAATACTCTCTTTAAATTTTAGTTCATTATATTTAACTTTTAATCCTCTTATGGAAATAAATAGGAATTTTTTTTTTGGCATTACTCTGGATCATAAAATCTACCATTTTAAAACAAATACGTTTCAAAATGTAAATCCTTTTGTATGAACCTTTTCTGATAAAATTGGTTATGATAAACATGTATCATAGCTGCATTTGTGCCAACGCGGTTAAGAAGTCCCACATAGGACAATATTTCATATACTTTAAACTAAAGATTGCATCCTCTGTTATCAGAATCTTACGATTCACGATTCGATTCGCAGTTTTTGAAAAATCGATACGAATCTATGGGTGAATATATTTTGGAAGTGAATCTCTAGTGAATCGCACGATTCATAATCGATTCACGATTCGATTCACTTTTTACAATTCATGCAATTTTTGAAATTATTGTATACGACATATTTTCGACTCTTTTTTTCTCCATCTTTTTAGTGAAAATGGCATAATACAACTTTTAATAGCGTTTAATACCAAAATAACCAACATATATACATGATTTATTGTTATTTTAGTGATCATGGAGTTTTTAATAAGATCCAATCAGATTCAATCAGACCCAACATATTTTTAACCTTTCTTCCCATTTTTTTTCTTTTTAAAAAATCATAATATATCTTCTAAAGATGTTTAAGATTAAAGTCATACTATGAATTATCTATTACTATTTTATTAAATTGAATATTACATGTGTGAGGTCAGTTATACTTTTTAAAATGTTTTAGGCTTTAAAATAAAAGATTCTAAATAATTCCTTCTTATTATTTGCTCACTGTTACTTAGAAAAGTATATATGCTTATTGTCAAAATATCAACATTGTTGTTAATTATTGTTACTTTGGAAATTGATAGTTTGTCTATTTGGTTACTATCTTTATTAAGAATGGCTGATAAGAAATATCTAAAAAAGAAAAAAGGCAAGATGGTGATATTACATCTTTATTAAAAATGGTTGATAAGAAATATCTAAAAAAGAAAAAAGGTAATATGGTGATCTTACATAGGAACCTTTGTTAACTTCTTACCTATTAAACTACGTGATTATTATTCAAAATAATATTTTTATTGATTTAAGTCTAAATATTTTATATTCATAAGATATATTTAACATCTAAATGTATAGATATATGTTTTTAAGTAATTTAGAAAAAGTGACTGAATCTTTACGATTCACGATTCGATTCGATTCGCGATTCGGTACAAGACCATTTCGATTTACGATACGAATCCCGATTTGACAACTATGATTGCATCCAGAAAGGGAAAAAAAAAAAGAAAAAAAAGAAGAAGAAGAAGAAGAAGACACAATTTCAGTTTGCAGTGTACATCAGAATCAGAAGATATACCTTCCTAACCAATGCCTCTCTAAGCTCAGGAAGACCTTCATCAGCACCATAACGACTAACTGAAGGTTCCCACACAAGTTCTTTTACCTTATCCAACGCTGGCTTCGGTGGTTGCCAATACACTACTCCCTACATGAGAATATGATCAGAGAATGAGATACTGTTAAGACAGTGCCATAGAAGTTTTGCAAGTAATACTCAATTGCAATAAAGTGTTTACGGCTTCAATCAGTAATACTAGTCACAGACTCCCATGATACTTGTCAAAGTATTTCCACCTACAAGATACCGATATAAGCTTACGAACTTACGAGTCATTATGGTTGAAAATCTTCTCAATATGAAGCCTACATTAACCATGTCAAGAAGCATAAAAAATCTTCATTCTAGGGCTTGAAAACCTTTATTTTAGATTTGTAGCCCACAACATGAAGGTAGTGCATTGTACAGAGGTTCTAAAATGCCTAAACAGAAATGATGGAGCAAAACTGAGCTTCCCACCGGAACCTCATGCAATCAAGTTATTATCCCAGCCAAAACTTTTTTTTTTCTTCTTGGAAAAGTATACCCTGAATTTTTAATTATAGCCATTAACAGAGCAAGGGCTTTTCCAAGGATTACTACAAGAAATGTATCAAAATTGCCCACTTAAGAACAATCTGCAATATAAGAATGTTGTCAAGATGGATAAAAGTCATCCACAACATATAATTCATGACAAATTGACCACTTATGGCCTTAATTGTACAAGCCCACTATGCAGACTTCAGAGCACCAAAAGAGAACTTCATCACATGCCAAGAAAAAATTTCTACAGCAGTAAGAATTAATCAAAATCCTTAACAGGTTGGGATTCTGTAATGTGTTGAAAGGCAAAGCAGTATTTGACAATTTTTAAAATACTACTAGTAAACGCCGACTCTAAACCAAATGTTAATGTGCTAAAAAATTAAACAAATAAATGCCACCAATTGCTCACTTTTCATAATAGTAAACATTATAAGCCTTCGTTTGGCATGCCAAAAAGCTTGGCTTTTTGGCTATTTTAGCCACAAAAAGACAAAATAGGTTAAAAAGCCAATAAGACAAAATGTCACATTCAAACCATAATCATTTCATTATTTCTCGCACAAAAGTCAAAAAAGCCAAAAAGTCTATCCCAAACGAGACTTTTTAGCCCTAAGCTAAAATAGCCAAAAAGTCAACCCACATCCCAAACGAACCCTAAGTATGATGCAATTAGGCCAATACAGAAAAAAAATTAGCAGTTACAGAATAGCACGCTGCATGAACTTTGGCAAGGATGATCTATGGGTCTGAAACAATACACCATGTTAACCTTTACATGCATAAGGAAGTTTCAATCGAAACATCAATGACTCAACATAAAAGTGATATCTTAAAATACAAAAAGAAGAAGAGCGAGAGAGTTATTAAAAAAAACAAAAAAACAAAAAAATTTAGCACCATGTCATGCTAGCAATCAAGATAAGATGAAATTTCTTAATTATTATGTACAAACCACGGTGACACCGATTTGCAGAACTAGCTGTTGTATGATTAACCAATGAATGACTTATCAAAAAAATGATAAGCCAATTTTTAAAGACTATTTTTTTATGTGTAATTAAGATGGTTTGAACCTCTAGAATTAACCAAGAGGACGGGAAAGCCACTGATAATGCGCCCCCTTTCCCTGGAAATGACTTGGATTTTGTCGGTGGAGCAAGAACATATAAATAACATTATACTTTCAGGCCCACAAACAAGGTTTATAATATAACTCACCACTCCCATTTCCCAACCACCTTTACAAAGTACCTCATTTGACGTTAAAACAATAACACATGTTCTCAACTCATTGTAAACTCATATCTCAACACAGTCTTTATGTTCCCCAAACCAATTTGCCGGTGATAAACTTTAGGTAGAAGCAACAAGGCTATAAACAAATAAATAAATAAATAAGTTAATTAAGTTGGAGTTCAATTAGATTTTAATCAGGAACATGTAATTGGTTGTTAATGATCATCAAAAAATTGAGATTTTCGAGGCCATGATTTCAGCAATCCCAACATGTTCTTGTGGGAGATGAATTGGTGAATTACAAATTTGAGACCTAAAAGGGACAAAACAAAAACTTTTCACATCTCTCAATTTCCCACATACCAAAAACTAAAATTAGTAAGTAAATTTTGACAAACATTGGAGAGAGTAAACAAACCTGAGCTAGAGAAAGTACGTCCTTGGTACCTCGGATCACTTCCTGTATCTGCAAAACACCGAACACCATCACACATTTCTCAGGAAACAAACACAACCAAATGAGGGGGAAAAAAAGAGTAGATGACAATGAAAATGGATGAAAACTTAATGGATGAAAATGAAAACTTACCATCATATACATATACACATCAGTTATGATAATTTCAGAGTAAAACCAAATGTTAATGACTGAGGAACAACCAACAAGGATCAGAACACATTAATAATTAAGAGGAAGCCACAAGGGCATATGCGCTTCTGTGTTTTGTTGAACTTACCTATGATTAATAAACCTTGCAACATTTCCATAATGTGTTGCATCTAAACAAAGAGCCTCTTCATCCTTTAAGACTCCTTCTGAACCCCAATCATCTCTAATTTTTTCTCAAATCCCCTCCAAAATCCTATATCTATATACATCAAAAAATAAAATAAAATAAAAACATATATACTCAATAGATATATGTATGATGATCTGGTCAAAGAGTTCAAAAGTTTGTTGGTCAAACCTGCCAACCTGCTTTGGCCGAGGTAACCATCATCCCGGCCAAAGAGTTCTAAAAATTTTGTTGGTCATACCTGCCAACCTGCTTTGGCCAAGGTAACCATTATCTCGGCCAAAGAGTTTCAAAAATTTGTTGGTCAAACCTGCCAACCCTCTCCAGCCTAGATTCTGATCTCGGCTGAAGAGAACAAAATGTTGGTTTTTCCAGCCAACCCTCTCCAGCCTAGATCCTGATCTCGGCTGAAGAGAACAAA